TGTACCTAAATAGGAAATACTTGGGCCTGAAAGTACTGCCTATGTAGGGACTTTGGGGCCCAAGTCATATTATCATGAGGTACATGGACCCTGAGGGGTTTCCGGGGGAAGAGCCAAGACGCATCCTTTTGCACATGAACTGCAGAGCCTCAAGGAATAAGAAACCACAAGCGGACCTCCTCGACTGCCACAACCATGTCCCAATGTCAATGCCCAAAATCGCCGCCTCTAAGCCCTCAACCCTAAACCCTAAACGGACCCTAAATCCTAAACCACAGAACCAGAGAAGAACTTCCTGCGCCCTGGCACCTTCAACCCACGCATCACGAAGGCCAGGCCATCTTCAGCACAGCCCTCGAATTTTTAGGGTTTAGGGTTTGGGCTTTAGGGTTTGGCGTTTAGGGTTAAGGGTTAAGGGTTTTAGGGTTGGAATGTCAGCGCCGAAGATTCAAGGGATTTTGGACTGTGCTTCCCCTATTTCGAAAAGAAGATACTCTACAGAGGGCAGAATACCCAAAGCTCTAGATTTACTAAACCAGGGTGTTTTAGGGTTTAGGGTTTAGGGTGTAGGGTTTTAGGGTTTGGGGTGCCCAAAAGAGGACCCTGAACCCTGCACCCTGCCTTGCCGAAACTTGCGGCCCCCCCCCCCCCCCCCCCCCCCCCCCCCCCCCCCCCAAACCCTAAACCCTAAACCCTAAACCCTAAACCCTAAACCCTAAACCCTAAACCCTAAACCCTAAACCCCCCCCCCCTCATCTGAGCGCCTCGAGGTGGCAGTGATTTCTGCCGGGCGTGGCATGGTTGAAGGCATCGGCGAAGGGCACCATGAAGGGCCCTCTTCACTTGGCTGCACTTAGGAGGGTTTAGGGTTTAGGGTTTAGGGTTTAGGGTTTAGGGTTTAGGGTTTAGGGTTTAGGGTTCAGGGTTTAGGGTTTAATTTCTAGCTGCCTTACCAAGATGCCCATTAAACCCAAAAAGGCTAAGGATCTAAAGTTGCGTAAAGCACCACAAAGTTCTAGGGGGGGCGCACGTGTGGGGTGTAGCTTAAGTTTACCTGGGGGGCCTTTTTTTGGGGTGCAGCTGAAGTTTAAGGATGATGGGGTCTAGGGTCTAGGGGCTTTGGGGCTCACCTTCTCTTAATTACCTTCTACTTCTGGGGCAACTATGAGCGCATTCTTGGCAACCATGAAGTTTCCAGGAAATGGCTGCCTTCGAAGTACAGTTCTAAGTGGGGCTAGAAGTACCCTAAACCCAAGACCCTAAACCCTAAATTCGAAGTATATAAACCCTAAACCCTAAACCCTAAACCCTAAACCCTAAACCCTAAACCCTAAACCCTAAACCCTAAACCCTAAACCCTAAACCCTAAACCCTAAACCTCCAGAAAAAAGGGATCGCCCGGTGGCCTCGGCCGCTGCAGAAGAAGCCGCGCGAGAGAACCGCGGCCAAGGCTCGCTGGAAAGACTCGAAGGACCTTCTTACAGCTTCGCGCTCGCCCTTATAAACCCTAAACCCTAAACCCTGATGTGGTATCCTGATTAGTGTGAGGGCCCCCCCCCCCCCCCAAACTAAATCCACCCCCGCAATAGTGTCACCAAAAAAAGGGACCCCCCCAAACTAATTTTCGGCCCCGGGCCCCCCCCCCACCGGCTCCTCTTCATTTCCTCTTCGCTCCTCTTCCCTCTCCTCTTCCTTTCCCTCTCCTCTAACATAATTAAGCTCAGGTAAGCTCAGATGAGCTCAGCTCAGGTAAGCTCAGGTAAGCTCAGGAAAGCTCAGGTAAGCTCAGTAATTAAAGCTAAAGGTAAGAACTCCGACTTGAAGCTGCTCTTCTTTTGCTCTTTTCTTTCATCATCTTTGTTCTCTTTTTTTCTCTCTTCAGAAACCCATGCCCGAAAAACTTTACTTTATTGTGGGGGGGGCAATCGAATTTTTGTCTCCTGAATAATTTTTGGAAAACTTTTCATTATTGAGGGGGTCCAGACTAATCAGGATACGACATTAAACCCTAGGGCCTAGGGTGTACCTACTTCTTTCGCAACAAGGGAACACATAGATTCGAACCCCAACCCTCGAAAATCTTCGTGCATGATGGCATCTTGATCTTGGGGGGAACTATTTAATGGTGCGGGGTTGGGGGTAGGTAATATTTGGGGAACCCTCAACCCTAAACCCTCAACCCTAAACCCTAAAAGATACTAAGAGTTCTGGTGGCAAGAACCGTACTTGAGCAAAGCCCTGCTCATACGCACCCATGAACCTTCAAGCAGATAAAGCCCGAGCTCCGCAGCCTGCACCCCAACACTCCGTGAACCCTAAACCCTAAACCCTAAACCCGAAACCCGAAACCCGAAACCCTAAACCCTAAACCCTAAACCACCACTACCACCACTACCACCACCACCACCACCACCACCACCACCACCACCACCACCACCACCACCACCACCACCACCACCACCACCACCACCACCACCACCACCACCACTACTACTACTACTACTACTACTACTACTACTACTACTACTACTACTACTACTACTACTACTACTAACCCTAAGCCCTAAGCCCTAAGCCCTAAGCCCTAAACCCTAAACCCTACTTGTAACGACCTACGAAGGTCGAGGATCCTAAGCCCTAGGCCTGAACTCTACTACTGGGGTGGACGTGGGGGCCCCTAGCACCCTAAAACCCTAAAAACCCCAAAAACTCTAAAAACCCTATAAACCCCCAAAAAAAAACTCATAAAAACCCTATAAAAAACCTTAAAAAAGAGACCTATCAAAAACCCTATAAACCCCCTGTAAACCCTAAACCCTATAAACCCGAAACCCGGAACATGCCAGGGGGCCGATCCTGCCACCAGGCGCTGTGCAGCTCCAGGAAAGGCCGAAGGGTGCGCTCAAAATGCCACCGCGCCTGCTTGAGGCTTGTTGAGGCTTGCAGGGTCTGGAGCCCTAAGCCCTAAACCCTAAACCCTAAACCGTCCAGACCCTAAACCTTCTCAACCCTATGCCTAGATCCTAAACCTTCTAAACCTTCTAAACCTTCAAAACCTTCAAACCCTAAACCTTCTAAACCTTCTAAACCCTAAACCCTAAAGCTCTAAACCTTCCAAACCCTAAACCTTCTCAACCCTAAACCCTAGATCCTAAACCTTCTAAACCTTCTAAACCTTCTAAACCTTCTAAGCCTTCTAAACCTTCTAAACCTTCTAAACCCTCTAAACCCTAAACCCTAAACCCTAAACCTCCTGAGGGCTAGGGTTTAGGGTTTCGGGCTTCTGGGCTTCGCTTCATGGGGTCCAGGAGTCTATGCGGGGTCTCCATTTCCTAGGTCCCCAAGTGACAAACGTAAAACCAGGAAAACACTTTCTGCGAAAAGGGCGTTTTCAAGGAGTCGAACAACACCTCAAACTCTAAATCCCTCGCCCAAAAGTTAAAGAGATAACAGAGAGAAGGGAGATCCTGAATGAAGATGCATACCGGGGCCTTAGGGTAGCTACAAGGGCCCTCAGTATGCTCCCTACCCCTTCTACACCCTCTAACACCCGAGGGCCCGTTTTTCTTGGGAAGGTTGTGCAAAAACACCTAAACCCTAAACCCTAAACCATAATCCCTTCCCCCTTTTATTAAACCCCCGCCCCCTAGTTATAAAACCACTTTCTGGAAGATCCTGCCGAAACCGACCCCGCCTTTTAAACCCAACCCTCTAAACCCTATTCCGTTTTTTTTTTTGGGGGGGGGGTTCAGGGCTCCCAAAACCCTCAAGCCAACCAACATCCTGAAGCTCCCTTCCCTCTACGCTCTCAGGGTTAAGTCATTACTTAAACCCTCCAAAGCCTGAAGCCTACACCCTAAACCCTTTGGACCCCAAACATGACATTTGGATAAAACCCTCCCCCTAAAAAACACACACACACACACACACACAAATTTCGAGTTTCTATTGGGGGGGGCGGGGAGGGGTTGGCCCCCCCGTTTAATATATTAGGGGGAAGGGATCAAACCCTAAACCCCAAACCCCAAACCCCAGCCCGTGCGGGACCTCCGGCGCTCCTCTCCAGTACTGCGGGCTCAGATGGCGACCTCTTGATTTAGGGTTACGGGTTTAGGGCTTGGGTTTTGGGTTTAGGGTTTAGGGTTTAGGGCTTAGGATTGAGAGTTTAGGGTTTAGGGTTGAGGGTTTAGGGTCTAGGATGTGCATTGAACTACACTCTTCCGTGGCCTGGGAATGAGAAGGGATGTATTTCGGATGTTTAGGGGTTTTTAGTTGTTTAGGGTTTAGGGTTTAGGGTTTAGGGTTTAGGGTTTAGGGTTTAGGGTTTAGGGTTGTGTTGGTTGTCTGTCAAGGTCCGCAATTTGCTTCAAGAGCTTTCATGCCAGGTTGCACAAGAAGTCAACCTTGGGGGCTGAATACCCTCGTACACAAAAGGTTAACCTCTGTCTATACATATATACATATACATATATGTATAACCCTAAACCCTAAACCCTAAACCCTAAACCCTAAACCCTAAACTTTAAACCTTAAACCTTAAACCCTAAACCCTAATAACCAAAAAGGTTACAGGATACCTACCCAGTCCCTAAGTGGGTTACTGGGTTTTGAATGGAGCATGACCAAAAGCCATGTATGGCTGTAGGTACCATTAGGTTTAGGGTTTAGGGTTTAGGGTTTAGGGTTTAGGGTTTAGGGTTTAGGGTTTAGGGTTTAGGGTTTAGGGTTTAGGGTTTAGGGTTTAGGGTTTAGGGTTTAGGGAAATCCCCCCGCCCTAAACCCTAAACCCTGAACCCTAAACCCTAAACCCTAAACGTCCCCGCAAGAAGCCCCTCTGCGCCCTAAACCCTGCCCGCCAGACCCCAGTTCTAACATAAACCTCGGGGTAGAATCCGAGCCGCATCATCGTCCCCAGATCCCTCGGATCTGAACGACCAACCCGGAAAGGACACAACGGCCCCTCTTCTCGGCTTAGTAAGTTTCGCGTATCGTCCAGCCGTTTATCTCCAGCTGACTGTAGTGCCATCCGCGCGAAGTGCAGCGAACGCTCCACCGCATCCTAGAACCTCTTGCGCATCCAGGATCGGATCTTGAAGATGGCGGTTGCGTTCATGCCCACCCCAGGTAACCACGGTGCCATCTCCACGGATTGCTGCGAACGCTGAGCCGCCAGAGCAGTCACTTCTTGCCTGTTTGGGGCTTAGGGTTTAGGGTTTAGGGCTTAGGGTTTCGGCTCTAGGGTTTAGGGTTTAGGGTTTAGGTGCCTGGATCTGTTGCACATTCTGGAGTTGGTCTTGAACTCTGCTGCTGTCTTCACCATGCCCCGTCAGACCCCAGGTGACCACAGTGCCATCTGCACGAAGTGCTGCGAAAGCTCCACCAGATGCTTGGACTTGGTGCACACCATGGAGCTGGTCCTGAACCTGCGTATCTTCAAAACTGCCGGCGAAGTCTTTATCACCCCAGCTCACCACAGTTCCATCTGCACGCAGAGCTGCAAATGCTTGGTGTGTTGCCTGGATCTGCTGAACCTCATGCAGCTGGTTCTGAACCGAACGGCTGTCTCCACCGTAACGTCGATCTCCCCAGGTAACCACAGAGCCATCTGCACGAATTGCTGCGAAAGCCCTGCTGGTGGCCTGAATCTGTCGCACATCACGGAGCTGGTCTTGAACCTCACTGCCATCTCCGCCGCTCCCCCGCTCTCCCCAGCAAACTACTGTACCATCCGCACGGATTGCCGCGAAAGACGTCTTGTTCGCTTGGACATGATGGACATCAAAGAGCTGGTCTCGAACGCCCCAACTCTCAGCACGCTCGCCCCCCCAGGCAACCACAGCGCCACTTGCACCTCGGTTGCTTGGATGTCGTCGCCCCACCCCCACCCCCACCCCCGCCCCCACCCCCCACCCCCCCCTCTCAAGATTTTATCTCTAAACCATACAGCCACAAAGCCTGGACAGTAAATCCTTATGACGTGGATAGGGGATAGCGAAAATCCTGACACTTATCTCCGTGCGACAACACCATGTCGCTCTCATTTACTTCTCCAGCAACCAGGGAAGGCAAAGTTAAGCTGCTCTAAGCCTGCATACCATTTGTGAAATGTTGGGATGTTCCCCCTTATACTAGCAGCTCCTGAATAGGGATTCGAGTACCACCTATTATAATCCCTATTAAGGAGCTGTTAGCATAAGGGGGAACATCCCAAGTCAAACGTCTAGAAACTCAGCTCTTAGCTAAGTCTGATTTTTGGGTGGACAGAACTGGGCAGTATTTCACGTGCTGGCCCCGAAAAGCTCGCCAACCCTGACTTTAGGGACTTTAAGGCTTTAGGTTCAGGGTCTAGACTTGGGGCTTGGGGCTTAGTGGCACTTTTAGCTAGTGACATGGTGATCCTGTGTCGGCAACCAAGATCTGCACTGATTGCTGCGAAGGCAGACTCTGTCGCCTGGATCTGCTGAACCTCATGAAGCTGGTTCTGAGCTAAACGGCTGTCTCCACCGTAACGTCGATCTCCCCAGGTAACCACAGAGCCATCTGCGCGAATTGCTGCGAAAGCCTTGCTGGTCGCCTGAATCTGTTGCACATCATGGAGCTGGTCTTGAACCTCACTGCTGTCTCCGCCAGATCGCGGATCGCCCCAGGTAACCACCGAGCCGTCTGCACGAACTGCGGCGAACGCTCCTCCCTGAGCTTTGTTTGCGTGCTCCTGAGTTGTGCTTCAAACCCTATGAAAACTAATTTATGAATAGGTTCCCTTATAAAGGAAAGAAGGGAAACTAACAACTATATCCCAAAGCACAACCCAGGCTCTGGGTCGGAGTCACAGCCACGTGTTGCCTGAATCTGCTGCACGTCGTGGAGCTTGTCCTGAACCATTGCGCTGTCCCCGCCACAGCGGGCATCCCCCCAGGTAACCACACTGCCGTCACCTAGGATGGCCCCTAAAACCCTCTGAACAATGTTCCTGGATGTGATCCTCTTTAACCCAACAAGGGAAAACATAAGATGTCCCAAGGGCCTTCCGAGTTACTGTGAAGCACAGCGAATGCTTGTATACTGCATGGCCAGTAGAAGTCGTACTCAACCTCATGAAACTCCACGCCGCCACACGCGGCAAGGGCTGAATCCGATCGTCGGACTGCTGCCGTCACCAGGTCACCCTCCTCTTAAGTTGCCCTTTTTAAGCTGCTGAGTTCATAAGCCTCCCAAAAAAGGGTGTACACTTTCAGTTCTATAGGGGATTGGAGTATCCCAATAAAACGGTGCAAAGTGTACTCACTCAGCTGCTCAGTCCTGCAGCCCCGCAAAGTGAACCGACAAGGAAGGTTGCAGCACCTGCCCCGAGGCATTGACCAGAATGACGCCCTGGACACCGAGTTGTGTGCATGCCTGCTGCTGCAGCTCCTGGATGGAAGAATCCGCGGGGATCTCGATCGAGACAGACCGTCCGCTCGCCAATGAAACATGCACCAGCATGGTTGTTTAGCGCAGAATGGAAGAACAACAATGCGCTGACTCTGTACTTTCGTTCTAGAAACCGTTCTCACTAATCAACAACAGCACACGTAATATCCCCTTTGCTTCTATTAACATGCACAAGTAAACTCTTAAAGGTATCATGTGAGAAGGCACGAGGCACGATGGCGCAACAGGGTTTAGGGCTTACAGGGTTCAGGGTTGAGGGTTTATAACTGAGGGTTATCAACGTGCGCATGGGCAAAGGCCAACCTCAGAAGCCTAAATAGTTACTATCTGATATCCAACTTTTGGGATGTTCAACGTTTAAAAATCCTAAACTATCTAATATCTAACCTTTCTAAAGCTATCTAACCCCGACTGGATTGGAAAGCTTAGACAGTTTAGACAGCCTCGAAGCCCCCGAGACTTGAAAACAATAGCCAGCCTCAAAAGGTTAGACGACTTAGTTCAGAAAGTTTCAAAACGCACCGGACCCCCGAAACTTTCTACTCTACCCTCAAAAGGTAAGATAGTTTAGATAATTTCGATAGTCCAGAAAGTTTCTCACCAACCCCCCCCCCCCCCCCCGGACCGCCGAAACTTTCAAATCTATCGACACCATTGCAGAGCCGAACTCATCACACTTGAAAGCCTCATATATATATATATATATATGTGTGACCTATAAACCCCCTGAGGCCCGATTTCGAAACACGATCAACCCTACATAAACCCATAATATACGCCCTGTACAAACCTTGTTCAGCCCTACTTTAAGGATCCATGTACCTCTATAGTATATACTTAGGCCCTAAAGCTACTATATAGGAAGCCCTTTAAGGCCCGAGTAAACACCATATAGGTACGTGGATCCTTAGGGATACGCAAACCCTAAACCCTAAACCCTAACTCCTAAACCCCAAACCCGAAACCGTAAACCCTCAACCCTAACCCTAAACCCTAAACCCTGAACCCTAAAAACTAACAGACTCGGCCTTCATCCTCGCGGCGCGCGAGCAAGCGCCCCTGTGCGGCGAGGGAGGTGCCCTCCAGCCAGCGCAGCTCCTCCTGGTTCAGGGTTTAGGGTTTAGGGTTGGGGGTTTAGGGTTTAGGGTTTGGGGTTTGGGGTTTAGGGTTTAGGGTTTGGGGTTTAGGGTTTAGGGTTCAGGGTTTGAGGTTTAGGAATTGGGGTTTAGGGGGTTTGGGGTTTAGGGTTTAGGGTTTGGGGTTTGGGGTTTAGGGTTCAGGGTTTAGGGTTTGGGGTTTAGGGGGTTAGTGGGGTTTGGGGGTAGAGTTTGGGGTTTGGGGTTTAGGGTTTGGGGTTTGGGGTTGGGGGTTCAGGTTGGGGTTTGGGGTTTGGGGTTTGAGGTTTGAGGTTTGGGGTTTGGGGTTTGGGGTTTGGGTTTAGGGTTTAGGGTTTAGGGTTTAGCTCCTCTTTTGGGGGGTGCCTGGGGTTTAGGGCATTGGGCCTTTGGAGTTTGTGTCTTGTTTCTGTTTCGGCTTTAAGGTTTTGAAGCTGTGGTATTGCCTTTGTGCGAGTAGGGTTTAGGGTTTCACCCTAGACCCTAAACAATAAACCCTCAATCCTTTGGATTGGGGGCTTTAGGGGTTTTGGATTCAGGGCTTTGGGGGCCTTAGGGTGTATGGGTTTGGGCGTTCGGGGCTGACGCGAAGGTCTATGGCTTCATAAGTCTGGCTACATTTAAGGTTTAGGGTTTAGGGAAGAGAGGGTGTATGGAGGGTTGGGGGAGTTCCAGGCTCGAGGTCAAGCCCTCCTCTAAACTCCAAAAGGTCAAACATCCTAAGCCCTCAACCCGGAACCCCAAAAGCCACCTTGCAATCCAAAAACAAAACCCCCACTCCCCAAAAACTCATTACACTAAAGACAGCTACATGATCCCTTAGTATGGGCCCTGAAAGAGGGTACCCCCTGTATACCCCTTATATACCCAACTAAGGGCCCTTTAAACCCTAAACCCTAAACCCTAAAGAGGAGGGTACTCCAGACTCGCATGACCTCCTCGAGGTAGGGCAGGTTGGCGAGCAGTCCTGGGATGGTGTCCAGGAAGGGCTCCTGGAACTTCGTCTAAAATGGCCCTTGAAGCCCTGTGAGAATTATTCCCTAAACTCGTAGTTTAGGGTTTCGGGACCCCAAACTAGTAGTTTAGGGTTCAGGGTTCAGGGTTCAGGGTTCAGGGTTTAGGGTTTAGGGTTTAGGGTTTAGGGTTTAGGGTTTACGGTTTCGGGTGTAGGGTTCCAAAAGGTCTGGGGGCTAAGGATTTGGACTGAAACCCGACAGCCCCAAAGTCTGAAACCTCTATTCTCCTCTATCTCGGCCTGAGGGGCTGAGTTTAGGGTTTAGGGTTTAGGGTTTAGGGTTTAGGGTTTTGCCCAGAAAAGGTCGGACTCTGTGTAACCAAAATGGTTACAGGTTACCTACCCAGTTCCTGAGAGGCTTTAGGGTGTGGGGGCCGAACAGACCTCACAACGAATGGTCCTCAGAGCTTGACGTTGCAGCTTGAGTGTTTGGCTAAAGCCTAGATAACCTCTAAACCCTAAACCTAGACCCGAAACCCTTAAAACAAAAAACAAAAAATCCAAACCTGCCCTTCTTGGTAGGCTGCCTCTGCGCCCTACCAGTGTCTCAAACCAAGAACGGTTGCGGCTTCTTAAGGTAGAGCCGATGCAGCCTAACTTGGCACAGCGTGTAGGGCTTGGGCTCTAAAGCAAACACCCAAGCCTCAAAGCTCTAAAGCCCCAAGCCCAAAAGCCACAATTGTTGCACCGGCACTCTTCTCGGCAGCCCAGTAACCATATTATTGGGGTACCCTTTTTTGGGCTAGTTACTTGAAAAGGGAACCTTGAACCACAAAAAACGCAAGAGGGAATTACTGGCCTACCAAGTCTTCCCAACCACCACAAAAGCCCCCAAACGTCCTTGTTGGCAACAGCACCACCCTCCTTCGCACATAGCTCCTTAAAATTGAACTCCCCAAAATCCGAAAACCCCAAAAAACCCGAAGCTCGAAGCCCTAAGCCCAAAGCGCCCCAAAGCCCAAAGCCCAAAGCCCAAAGCCCAAAGCCCAAAGCCCAAAGCCCAAAGCCCAAAGCCCAAAGCCCAAAGCCCAAAGCCCAAAGCCCAAAGCCCAAAGCCCTAAGCCCTAAGCCCTAAGCCCTAAGCCCTAAGCCCTAAGCCCTAAGCCCTAAGCCCTAAGCCCTAAACCCTAAACCCTAAACCCTGTCCTGGACCGAGTCTTGCCCCTCGCCCAACTCGCGCAACAGCATGAGCCTAGATGGAACATGTGGATTTACAGCTGAGGGTTTAGGGTTTAGGGTTTAGGGTTTAGGGTTCAGCCTACACCCAGGGTTTCGGGCGTTGGGGGACCCAACGATGCCCGGTGCTTTCATGGTTGGTTGTCCGGCTACTGGGGAAACGAGCGTAAGGGTGGAGGAGGGAAACTTCCAAACTCCCAGCCTTCTCAATTCTATACCCAGTATCTTGGCGAGCACATGAAGCCGCAAAGCTGTGAAGTACCATACCACGGTGGGAATAAGGGTGTCTCGTTGAGGTTTGGGGTAGAGGTTCTACTGCGACCTGAATTGAACTTGAAGGGTAAAAGGAGGGACCCCTAGAAGGGACCCTTAATCTTATTCCCCTAAATAACCCATCAAAAAACATATATACTATATATATATATATATATATAGATAGTTAGATATATATATATATATGTTAATATGTATATACCTGCTATAGTTCCGTAACCCCGAACTAACCCCTAAGGTCCCTTATAAGGGTCCCTTCTTTGGTCCCTTGATGAGTTCTGGCCGAGCTGCGAGCAGCCAAGAACTCCAGGGCCAAATGCCGCCCGCACCGCGTCGGCCGCCGTGCTGTTGGCCTCCCAGGAGTTGGCCCAGGTTCCGGTTTAGGGGCTAGGTTTTCCTAAACCCTAAACCCTGAACCCTAAAAGTTAAACCCTAAACCGGGCGCTGCCGTCGTCGTCGTGGTCGTGGTCGTGGTCGTGGTCGTGGTCGTGGTCGTGGTCGTGGTCGTGGTCGTGGTCGTGGTCGTGGTCGTGGTCGTGGTCGTGGTCGTGGTCGTGGTCGTGGTCGTGGTCGTCGTCTTCGTCTTCGTCTTCGTCTTCGTCTTCGTCTTCGTCTTCGTCTTCGTCTTCGTCTTTGTCTTTGTCTTTGTCTTTGTCTTTGTCTTTGTCTTTGTCTTTGTCGTCGTCGTCTTTGTCGTCGTCGTCGTCGACTTGTCGCAATGACGAGGTGTTGTTGGTTGGTCATGGGGGCACTTTAAACCCTAAATCCTAAAAACTGAAAACCCTAAACCCTAAACCCTCAACTGTATATTGCTACTTTGCTAATGTCGGACAACAAAGGACCACGGCCCGACCCTTGGCTCCTGGATCCCTAGTATCCCTACCTGAAGAGAAGCCTTGTACAAACCAAAGAAAGCAGCATTGACAGGCATGTACCCAGGAATGAAGGTACCTTGTGAAGGGCATGGGTTTAGGGTTTAGGGTTAGGGTTTAGGGTTTAGGGTTTAGGGTTTAGGGTTTAGGGTTTAGGGTTTAGGGTTTAGGGTTTAGGGTTTAGGGTTTAGGGTTTAGGGTTTAGGGTTCAGGGTTAAGGGTTAAGGGTTAAGGGTTTGGGGTTTGGGGTTTGGGGTTTAGGTACATGTCCCTCTTTCAAGGGTATAAAGGGTACTCGAAGAAAACCCTATAAGCCCCGCAAGAAAAGTCAAGGGCCCCCGCCTCGTGGTTCGGCTCCAGCCAGAGTTCGTGCCCAGGGCAAGCCTCGTTTGTACTCTTAGTTGCTGAGTTCATCAGCCCCAAAAAGTGCACAAGTTCAGTTCTATAGGTGATTCTAATATTCTACCAAACCGTATAAAGTGTACCCACTCAGCTACTAAGTACTTCTTTTTGTTCTTGTTGTTGGGCTGGGGGAGGGGAGTGGTTGAGAGGTTAGGGTGACATGGTGCTAGGGTGTTAGAGTTTAGGAAGTGAGAGGGT